AAGAGTAGCAATTAGGATATTATTTTCATGATATGATTTTAATTAGGAATATTTTAGGAAACTTTTGTTTTTTTAATTTTATTTTCTAACGAGAGGCTTTAAAAAAAAAAAAATTAGAATTAAAAAAGATAATGAGTAGTTGTGTTCCATAAAAATATGATTTATTATCTTATTTTTATTTTTTTAATATGAAAAAGTGTGAATTTACCATATTATCTTCATTTAATTAATAATTTCAATTCTTAATGTTTGCATTAAACAAAGGATATTTTCTAGTATTTTGAATGTTTCATAATTCTCTGTCTTTTGCTTTATATATATAGATTAGCTTTTCTAATTCCTTCAAGTGTAGAGTTTCTCTTGTATAAAAGGCATGCATTGGAGTATCTTGAAACAATTATCTTATTTTTAATAAAATATCATTGAGGTTTTACAATTTCTGACCAGTTGGTTAGTGGATTATAGTATGTTACTTGTAGGATTATCGTTCGATTTTTGTATTCTCTTATATCTCGACCCGTCAACGTCTCTATTAGAAAGTAAGTTTTTCATTAGAGATGTGATACACATTATAAAATAAAATATCATACTCCACCAATCTAGACTACGTGATACATTCTCGATGTTCTATAAAATATTAACAAAATATCGACAATGTACGATATATCATGATACTGTAGGTTGGTAACAGTGTGAAATGTTTTTTTCCCCTCTAAAATGGTTTTACCGTATGATGCAAAGTTTGCAAACCCATACCAGTGACTTCCAGGTGGAACCGCGGGACTAAGTCCGAAGCAGGAAGAACAGAAAATATAACCAATTGACAGGGCCCCACCCTAACCTTATTAAAAAATTGAATAACTGCAAAAATAAAATAAAATCCCAATGTTCCATTAGATAAAATTCCAGAATTTAGAAATTAAATTCTCACGACATTTCCATTTCCACTTTCTGCTTTTCCAGCAAGTTGGAGACGGAAATTAGAAGAACCCAAAGCCAAGCCCAGCAAGAGCAAAGCTTCACACAAAGCAAAAACCATGGTGACGTACGTGAGCGCGCTGCTGTACGGAGTTGGAGGTCTGGTTGTGGCGGGCATGGCATTGCTTGTGGCCCTCCAGGAGAAGCTCGTCTACGTGCCCGTCTTGCCGGGTCTCACCAAGTCCTACCCGATAACCCCGGCCCGCCTCCGGCTCACCTACGAGGACGTCTGGCTCCGATCCTCCGACGGCGTTCGGCTTCACGCTTGGTTCATCAAGCTCTTACCCGACTGCCGAGGTCCGATCCGGTTCTTTACCCCATTCGTTTTCATCTGTTTTACTTGATTTGGGTTAGCTTGAATTTTGCTGAATTGGGTGGGTTTAGGTTTCCCTGAGGCAATTAGGGTTTGGTTGGTTGTTGGAATTGCTGCAATTACTGAACGCAGCCAGCTAATTGTGTTTGTTTAGCATAGTTTAGAACAAATGCATGCGTTGCACAGTAGTCATTATTCGTTTCGCATTTAATTCGTCTCGAATTATAAGTAGTTAGGAACTTTAGTTGAAAATTAATCTGCTACTTTGGGTTTGGGATGCTTTTGAAATTTTGGCATGTTCTTTCCGCGCTTAGAAAGTTGTTTCTCTTGCTTTGCAGGTCCAACCCTTTTGTTTTTCCAAGAAAATGCTGGAAGTATCCTATTTTTCAGAACTTCGTTGATATTACTATAATTTGGAACATTAGCATTACATTGTTTTTGTGATTTTTGCTCTCTGGTTTACCTGTAATTATCATGAACTTAGTGGGGGAGCCCTATATGCTTTATTGGCCTTGACTATTGACCTTCAGATATTGCGCATCGCCTTGAAATGGTCCGCATAATGATACAAAGGTTGCAATGCAACGTGTTTATGCTTTCATATCGAGGGTATGTGCCCGCTATGTTTCTATCTAGTGGCTTTGTAGCATATCAGCAGCTTAATTTGGGTAAACCTATCTATATTGATTTATTGAATGCAAATGGTCATTGATATAAACAGTTATGGAGCAAGCGAAGGATATCCTTCTCAGCATGGGATTACAAAAGATGCTCAAGTATGCTTTTCGGTTACAGATGTATTAAAATTCCACTGTACTTATTATATGTCAGCTCTGTAACTCTGTTAGTATACTTTTCCTTCTTTCTGTTAGGTTGCATTGGATCATCTTTATCAGAGGATTGACATTGACACATCTAGAATAGTAGTCTTTGGAAGGTCACTTGGTGGCGCAGTTGGAACTGTGGTTACTAAAAATAACCCTGATAAGGTATCACTCCAATAATCTTCTGTAACTTAATTTTTCCCACTTATTACAAGAGCGAAAAAGAAGGGCTGTTTAGGTGAATAGAGAGTTGTTTCCCCCACTTAAAAATTTAAAGCTGTCTTGTTGATTTATTTCTGCTTCTCTGGCAACTTATTTCATATGTGGTTCCAGCGTGTTGTAATTTTTTAGAAACCAATTTTGAGTCTTACCAATACTGGAAAATTTTCCACTGTTTAATGTCCTTGAATAGTATATTTTGAGTTGGTAAGCTGAGGTGGTTTTGCTTTGTTTTGCAGGTTGCTGCACTGATAGTAGAAAACACTTTCACATCTATTTTGGACATGGCTGGAGTTTTACTGCCTTTCTTGAAGTGGTTTATCGGAGGCAGTAGTTCAAAAGGTCCTAAAGTACTTAATTTCCTTGTACGTTCTCCTTGGAGTACAATTGATGTCATTGGTGAGGTAAGCTTACTTGGTGGTAGAATATCTTGATTCACCCAGCACATAGACACGTGAAGAAGTGAAATAATATGCAAGATATGTATTGGTCACCTTTTCAATTTTCAGTATCTTCCAGTTTTCTTATATGAATGCACCAGTCCATGCTTGATCCAGTGCAGAATATCTGGATGGAAAAAAGTATTTTAATCTAACTTTGCATCTATTCGTTAAAACTATAATGCGATGTATAAAGCGCGTTAGCAAGTGTAGAAATATGTATCATTATCGGATTTCAGAAATGTTAGTACCAATAAGACATGATTTTTAAAGATGTAAAAACTCCCTTTATAAATAGCAGTTGCAATGCCTCAAAATCAACAAAGTGCTATGACTATGAGTCACGTCTCTTCTGCCACAACCTTAATGTTTTGGGGAAATTTTTTGCCAATGCTTTGTCCCTTGCCCTTGCTGATTTCACTGATCCCTCATATGTGACCATCTAAATGCAGGTTAAGCAGCCAATCCTCTTTCTCTCTGGCTTGCAAGATGAGATGATTCCCCCGACCCATATGCAAATGCTGTATGCCAAAGCAGCTGCTCATAATAGGCGATGTGTTTTTGCGGAATTTCCTACTGGCATGCATATGGATACTTGGCTCGCTGGTGGTGATCATTATTGGAGAACGATCCAGGAGTTTCTTCAACAACATGTTCAAGAGAAAAAAGATGATGAATCATCTAACAATGATATTGGTAAGATTCTGGGTAATGAAATATTTCAAAACCTTACACAGTCAGAGGCACACACAAAAGGTAAATGAAAGAAAAGAACTACTGAAGATAATGAAACTATGTAAGAATTAAGAACAGAGTGACAATCATGTTGCAATCATTTTGCACATACTAAACTGTGTAGCTAGGCATTAACATGGAATGGATACTGACCTACCAGATGATTTCTGGCTGAGTTCCAACTAATTGTTCTTTCCCTCCCTTGGGGCAGGGTGTATCATGTGTTTAATTCTTCTCGAACACTGTATACTTTTATGTTGTTGAACCTTGAGGATGGAAGTTTTTGGTACTGTTTTTCAAACTACGTGATGTGTATTCATTGAAACTTTTGAGGCTTTGCCTTTTGGATGGTAATATTAGTTATCCTAGGAGTGGCTGCAAGCACCAGACTGATTGCTACTCTTCCTTGCTTTTTCCTTTGCTTCTTGATTCTTAATTTCTCTTTCTCCACTCTCAGATGTGGGGGCAAAGTGATTGGATGGATTTTAGACTTCTTCAAGCATTCTGATTGGCTCCCCCTCAGGACTCAACACAATTTGTACCTTTTTTTCTGAAGCTGCAGCAATTGAAAGCTCTCTATGAAGAGTGTATCTGCCAAGGCCGGCTGCACTCGTTGAGGTTTTTCCCATTGAAGATTTTTTGGTGGTTTTTACGAACTTCGGACAATGCAGACAAAAATGTGAATGCCTTGGATAGACTATATGACTTCTGACATACACGCGTTATGCCTAATCTTGTTCTGACTGACCCCCATTGTATGAAATAAGAAGTCACTGAAGATGCAACTATATATATATATGTTGAGTTGGTGCTCCAGGATTGTTTGTATTGTATCGCTCAACTATGGCGCTTTAGGACCAATCTTGCTTTCAAAATAGTTAGTTTGACATTCCAAGTTGCCCATTTTATTTCCCTTTTGTTTAGGGTCAAATAATTTTTTACCTTTTACTGCGTAGTAATTACTACAGTAAGACATACATTATTATTATTATTATTATTATTATTATTATTTTATGAAGAAAAGACATTATTTAAAAAATGTTTTGGAAGATTGAGGTCACAACAATCGTTTAGATTTTTCTTCTTCATGACACGTTTATGGCCGATGAGGGGTCTGGTCCTCCACATACATGTGGGACCCACTGAAGCCGTCGTCAAATCCCCATCCTCGGATCATATCCGACGGCTGGAAACACAAAAGGAAAAAAACTGTATTTTTATTTGGAGTGGACCACTCTGCAGTCTAGTCCACAGCGCAAATCAGCGGTCAGCGACCCATCGTTGACTTTGGTCCAGCCCTGCCTCATTCTACGACTTCAGCCAATTCCTCTACGCCACATCATCATAAAAACATTCACACTTCACACACCTTCCAAAAAAGAAAAAGAAAAAGAAAATAAAATAAAATTCGCTCTTAATTACATTAATTTTAATTTAATTTATTTAAGTAGTTGTTTTGGTTGGTTTTGATTTCCCTCCTTTTAAAAACGTGTTTCCCCCAATCTTTTCCTTCTCTCTTGTGCTATTGAGAACGTTGGGATCTCAGGCTTCTCCTCTTTCTGAGCCGTCGCTTCTGCATAAACAAGTAAGTAATTAAATACCATTTGGATTGGAAGTCAACCTATTTACGATTCTACCCCTCACCTCCTTCATTCTTCAGTCTCTTCTTTTCTTTTTTCTAAAGCTTAATTAGCTCTCAGGACCGGACTGTGTGTACGGACATGGAAGGAAGAGGCGGAGGAGCAGGAGCAGGAGCGCCGTACAGCCCACGTACTGTGGATGAGGTTTTCAGAGACTTCAAGGGCCGCCGAGCCGGCATGATCAAAGCTCTTTCCACTGGTCTCTCTCTCACTCTTTTTTTCTTCTCTGTTTTATTTTTAAATTTGAAAAATTTTCAGTTATTTCTTTTGACTTTGTTGCTTTTATTTAGGGCTTTGTTCCAATTTCCTATTATTTCTGCACTTTTTAAATGTTTTTCATTTTGCTAACTTTGTTTCTGTGTTTTTTTTTGGGTGCAGATGTTGAAGATTTTTACGAGCAATGCGATCCTGGTTAGGGTTCTCTGTGTTTGTGTTTTCTCAATTTCGTGTTCAATTGCTGTTTCTCCGTTTTTGAGATTTTACTATTTATTATTTTCTTTTTTTTGGCTCTAACTGAGATAGCCCTTCCTGCAACTTGGGGTCCAAATGTTGTTCAAACACTAAAATAATATTGCTTTCTAACTACGTGTGTGCAGAATATTAGCTCTTTTTCTAGTTTTAAAGCTTGAACCTTTATTTTCCCCCTTCCTTTTTTAAATGCATAGACACCCTGCTGGCTTGCCATTAGCTGTTCCCTTTGATGTTTGTTTCTTTTTGGGTCTTGCGCATTTTTATGGGATGCTTATTATTTGTTGTGCTGAACTGAATGCATTGTTTTATTGCATCAACTGCGTGCAAGTACCAGCTTCTTAATTCCTGTGGATTTCCATATTCGAATGAGAGTATTAATTTCGTCATCCTTTTTCAAAATCCTACCTTCCAGGGCCATGCGACTCTTTTCTTGGATCTCTAGTTAGGCTTTGATGCATTTGATTGGTCAGCAATCCTACCTTTACTGAATTATGTAACTGCTAAACAGATCTTTCAGTTCACTTTTTCTTGTTGTAGTCATCAGAACTGGAAGATCCTTGTGTGGGTTGGATATAATGTACGACAGGCTATACGGCGTGATAATTTAGCTACAGTAAACGGGCTGATGAAGTATATGCTATATCATTGACCTTTTATGAAAATTTGAGGTTGGAATTATACACCATACTATTTGTTTGTGGGTCAGTGTTTGTAGTACTAAAACTATAATTCCTGTGTAACTTTGCCATTGGAAGTTGCTGGTATGCTTTTGCATTGTTATTTACTTATACTGTAAATGGTTTGTAATATATTAAAAGTCTGGAATTTTGTGTACTCTGGAATCCTTATTGTAGGAACTGATGCTTATTGTGTTTAACTAATTGATCAATGGGTCAATGCTTCAGAGAAGGAAAACCTTTGTTTGTATGGATTCCCAAATGAAGAATGGGAAGTTAATCTACCTGCTGAGGAAGTTCCTCCTGAACTTCCGGAACCTGCTTTGGGCATCAACTTTGCCAGAGACGGGATGCAAGAAAAGGATTTTTTATCTCTGGTAGCTGTTCACAGCGATGCATGGCTACTTTCAGTGGCTTTCTATTTTGGTGCCAGATTCGGTTTTGATAAGGCTGACAGGTATGCACACCTCCTTTCTTGCTGCTATGTGATGCTTTCATTTAGATTTGCACAACAATAAGGTTGTCTAGATGTTGCAGCAACAAGTCAGAATGAAATCGTAAAACAATAATTATGCACTAAAATGAATTTTAGATGAAGAATTTTAGGTAGTGGATATTTGCCTTTGTTGTACCTGTGATGCAGGATAATATTGATGAAATATTTGGTTGAGTGTCATCTCAGTAGCAATGGCCAAAGGTGCAGAAAGTGATTTTTGACATGTATTAGGATGCCTAAACATGGCATGGATTCATTTCTGGGATGGGGGTAGGATTGAGCTTCAATCTAGATAGCTCGATCAATCTATATCAGGTCAAACCTGTTGTTTAAAAATCAACATGTGCATCTGAACAGATTCTGGATCTGAAGGGATTGCCCCTCCAACGATTAGAATTTAGAATACATCATCTAAAATGGTTCAGTGCAAATTTTGATGCAGGAAACGTCTCTTCACTCTGATGAATGATCTACCAACAATATTTGAGGTTGTGACGGGCAGTGCAAAGAAACAATCAAAGGAGAAGTCATCAGTTACAACAAATCAAAGCATCCATAGGCCTAAGTCAAGCTCTAAAGGGGTAAAGTGAATTTGTGTTTTGCAGTCTTATGGATTTGCTTAATCATTTAGGAAAACGAGTTAATTGGTGACTTTTGTTATGTGAGTGTGCTTTTATTACTCTCTCTCAATAGATAATACGATGTAAAAGCATATAAGAAAATATCCTAGTCTAATACAATATGAGTGGAACTGGAACTCGTGTGTGTCCACTTGCGTGAGTGGAACTTGAATTTGTTTGTGTGTAAGTATTATTTTGTGCTAGGCTTATCTTAATGGTATGCTTCCTTAACTACATGTTTCTGCTACCAATTCTTAATCCGAGAACAGCGAGGCTCTGATTCAAGCAAACAGTCGAAAGTGATGCCAAAGGATGAAGACGAGGGAATGGATGAGGAAGATGATGATGACCACAGCGATACTCTGTGTGGTGCATGCGGGGAGAACTATGCTTCCGATGAATTCTGGATTTGTTGCGACATATGTGAGAAGTGGTTTCATGGAAAGTGTGTGAAGATCACTCCTGCCAGAGCTGAGCACATCAAGCACTACAAGTGCCCCTCGTGCAGCAACAAGAGAGTGCGGCCTTGATCGTAGTACAAGGTGTAATTATGTCGAGTTGGATAGAGCTAACTATTTAGTTAAGTTTTCTGCTCATGAGCCATGGTGACATAGCCTTTCCACTTAGTACTTTGTTCTTGGTGATCTTGCTGTTTGGATGATATTAATGTTTCCTAATGTGAACTTGCGCTTTATGATTTGACTTTTTCATACATTTATTCTGTCAACTGTGGAAGCCCCTAAATTATTCTGTCTAATTTCGACATCTTATGTTTGTTATTTGTTCCATTTTGACCAGATTAATGATGAAAATGTGTGTGACAGCATAGAATGTGCGTTACAACTAAAGGCAACAATTCCTGAAATTTGTTGGGTATATTATACCGGAATTACTATATTACCATATTTCCAATAAATTAACTTGACTCTTAGTTAATATTTTGGGTCATGTAAATACTTTCTTCACATCACATGTCATCGTTACAATATTGATGTATGAGTTTTCACTTGAAAACCATTATACTCCATCAAAAGTAATTAAAGAGTGTTTTCATCGTTTAAAAAGAGGGAGAATGTTTTCATCAATGAAGAGTTTGTCTTATAAATTAAAGGTGACAGACAATTTCACAATTGTAGTTTGATTTTATTGCAATTTAAGGACACATTCAAATATCCGTCCAATTTCTTGACAGTATATCTTACATGGAGGGGTATTTTGGATGGAAATGTATGGAAATTTTGCTTATGGGATTTTTTATGAGATGTTGCCGTGTATTGTCGATCCATCTTCCATAATTTTGTCTTCTATTTAAGACTTTTTGTTTTTGTTGGTCTATTTATGTTTTATTTTGAGAAAATAAAATCATTAATATATAAGTAAAATCAACATGTTCATATTGAAAAATCTTTGTAGATGATGTAAAGTGGATTGAATGCAAAAACCTATGGTTTATAAGAAAGGACCAATTAGCAAGTGATTATATATAATTTATTTTAGATTTTTTATTCGTGTTTATTAATGAGCAAGGGTCCCAACAAAAACGTTTGACTGAAGCAATGGATTCTCTTCTCTAATAAAAATATTAATCTGGTTTTGGACTTTGGTTGGCTGGGTCAACTTCTGCTGGCAAAATTCTTCTTCGTTTTGAGTATTGGCTTTCACAGTACCAGATCCAATATTTTATCACGGCTCCATCTCCGTGGCTCTCAAGCTCTCAAGCTAAGAGACTTTTCAAGCAAACCCAGAGGAGAGGAGAAAACAGAGCGAAGAAGATGGAGAAGAAGCTTTTGGACGCGGCCATGGAAGGAAACATAGCGATGCTTAAAGATTTAATCCAACAAGATCCACTTGTTCTTGATAGAAGTTTAGTATCCTGCGTCTCCGAGACCCCACTTCACATAGCTTCAATGTTGGGCCATCTGGGTTTCGTCAAGGAGCTACTGAGTCATAAGCCCGAGTTGGCCTCCGAGCTGGACTCGAGGGGCTCGACGCCTCTCCACTTGGCGGCGGCCAAAGGGCACGCGGAGATCGTAAAGGAGCTGGCTTTGGTGGATCCCGCGGCATGCATGGTGAGGAACGAAGATGGGTGGGCGGCCCTCCACGTGGCAGCCGTCAAGGGGCGTGTTAAGGTGCTGGGTGAGTTGGCCCGAGTCAGGACTGACTCCACTCTGGCGTTGACGGACCGGGGCGAGACTGTGCTGCACTTGTGCGTTGGGCATAATCGGTTGGAGGGGTTGAGGGCTTTGGCTGACGCTTTTGGAAAAGATGATGAGTTTCTGAACTGGAAGGACGTCGATGGGAACACCATTTTGCATATTGCTGTGGCCAAGAAGCAAATTGAGGTATGGAGCTTCTAAGTTTCTTTCTATCAATTAGCTGAGCTCAATGAATTTTAGTTAGTCTAGAGTTTCACATAGATGGATATAAAGTTTCTTCTATCAATAAGCTCATCAATGGTTTTTAGTTATTGTAGCTTTATGTTTTGAAGTTTAAGACTTTGGCTATTTATGAAATTTTTGGGATTTGAGGATAAGGGAAAATTGCATGTTAAATTCAGTGGTAAAAGAAAATATGTTTGGGTATGGAGATGAAATGGGAGTGGGTTGTTTTCTGTTTTGTTAATTGCCATTTCTGATTTTCCTTTACAAACCTGAGGCCCCAAATAGAACCCATATCAGAAACATTATACATGTACCACTTTGAAACTGCTGATTCTAATAACTTCTAGAAGTTGGTTCATTATGTAAATGGGTTATTACTACTAAAATCTCTTAAAAGGGATTGAGTTGCATATTTCATTCAAAATGGTGTTTTGAATTTGTGCAGATCATTAAGTTCTTGCTTACCAGTACCGGAGTGAATGTGAATGCGTTGAATGCCAACAGCTTTACGGCTTTGGACATTCTGATGCAGAGTCCTAGAGATTTGAGGGATATGGAGATTGAGGATTCTCTTCGAAGTGTAGGGGCTAAAAGTGCAAAGGATGTACGTCCCATTGTGCATGACTGGGTTCGAGTTCCAACAAAAGAACGCCAGATAGCAAGACGTCTAGGCTCAGTACTATCCTCTAAAGAAGGTGATTCTATGAAACCGGCTGCCCAACGGAAGCCTAGCGATTGGCTCGGGAGGAAGAGAAGTTCATTGATGGTGGTGGCATCTCTCCTTGCAACCGTTGCCTTCCAAGCTGGTTTAACCCCGCCAGGAGGTGTTTGGCAGGATGACCTGAAAGTAGATGAGAATGGCAACCCTGTGGCAAAACCTCACTCCGTAGGAACTTCTGTCATGGCATATAACCTGCCAAAAGAGTATGGTCTGTTCATGATTTTTAACACAACCGCTTTTCTCACGTCCCTAAGCATAATTCTTCTGCTTGTTAGCGGGCTACCAATAAAGCGTCGAAGGTGGATGTGGATACAAATGGTCATAATGTGGGTTGCCATCACTACACAAGTAGTAACTTTCTTCATCTCTCTCCGTCACATGTCACCTGATGACATAAATGTGCAAGGCACGCTGCGTGAGGTAACGTCAATATCAGTTTTGACATGGTTGACTTTGATGGTGGTTGTTTTCGTAGGGAATTGTATTCGTATGAATTTATGGGTTCTCAGAAAGTATGGTTATATTAAGCCAAAAGAGGAATCAGCCACCATTGATGATGAACTTGAAGAGGGGGAGAACTGAGGATTAAAGTGAAAAGAACTCTCACTTTTATATGGCCTGACAACACAGAACTTGTCATTGCAGTCGTGTAGATGTGAGTGTCAAGCTAGAAAGTTTTGGTCCACAACCTTGTCAAGTATGAGATTGGACATTTGAAGGTCTGTTTTTTAGCAGCACATTTGAATGAAGATATTGTAGTCAACCACTTTCTTATCTGATTGTTTGGGTTTGAGGATTAAACTCACCATTCTTGTATATCTATTCCTCTGTTAATGATTATGTGGAGGGCATTCTTTAATGAAACGATAGTCGTTGGATAGTTGTCGGCTTGGTTAGTGTATGGTGGGTTTGCAACTTTTTCCTCGGAAACATATATCTTTTGATGGTGGAGGGTCTTTCATTGGTGAAGACTAACAAGAAGAAAATGATTTTTTGGACAGTTGGGGGGTTTTGGCTATCTTTTTCTTATGGAATGTTTGGTTGGAAAAGGAATAAGAGGTTGCTTTGAGCTCAAGAGGAGGAGCAGGTGGAGCTAGTTTGTGTGGCGTATAAAAAAAACACGTCTCTTTCTTTTGTTGTTGCAAGATTGAGCTAAATGTGAAAGCATCAAAATTGAAAAGCATGACAAGGGGTTATAGTTCTATAAATTATGCGGTTTTGTACACAAGTACTTGATCAGATAAAATAAAGAGGAAAAAAAAAAAAAGAATCCAAGTCAAATAATTCCATTCATCATTTCATCTACTTCTCTGTTCTCATTGTGGGCCATTCATTTTGGAAAGGAAGGTGTCAACCCAAGTCAATACCAAATATGGAAGCTTCCAAGGGTCCCCAACAAAAACGTTTTACTGAATCAAGGCAGTAGTCTCTTCTCTAATAAAATATTAATCAAGTTTTGGACTTTGGTTAGCTTGGTCCACTTCTGTTGGCCAAATTCTTCTTCTTTTTTACTATTGGCTTTCACAGTACCAGATCCAACGTTTTATCACGGCTCCATCTCTATGGCTCTCAAACTCTGAAGCTAAGCGACTTTTCAAGCAAACCCAGTGGAGAAAACAGAGCGAAGAAGATGGAGAAAAAGCTTTTAGATGCGGCCATGGAGGGAAACATAACGATGCTTAAAGATTTAATCCAAGAAGACCCACTTGTCCTTGATAGAGCTTTAGCTTCCTGCGTCTCAGAGACCCCACTTCACATAGCTTCAATGTTGGGCCATCTGGGTTTCGTCAAGGAGCTACTGAGTCACAGGCCCGAGTTGGCCTCCGAGTTGGACTCGAGGGGATCGACGCCTCTCCACCTGGCGGCAGCCAAAGGGCACGCGGAGATTGTAAAGGAGCTAGCTTTGGTGGATCCTGCTGCATGCATGGTGAGGAACGAAGATGGGTGGACGGCGCTCCACGTGGCAGCCGTCAAGGGGCGTGTTAAGGTGCTGAGTGAGTTGGCCCGAGTCAGGACTGAGTCGACTCGGGCGTTGACGGACCGAGGCGAGATGGTGCTGCACTTGTGCGTTGGGCACAATCGGTTGGAGGGGTTGAAGGCTTTGGCTGACGCTTTTGGAAAAGATGATGAGTTTCTGAATTGGAAGGACTTCGATGGGAACACCATTTTGCATATTGCTGTGGCCAAGAAGCAAGTTGAGGTATGCTGATTTTAATTTTCTATCTTAAGCTGAGCTCAATGATTTTTAGTTAGTCTAGAGTTTCACAGAGATGGATATAAAGTTTCTACCATTAAGCTCATGAATGGTTTTTAGTTAATGTAGCTGTATGTTTTGAAGTTTAAGACTTGGCTATTTATGAAATTTGGGTATGGAGATGAAATGGGATTGGGTTGTTTTCTTTTTTGTTAATTGCCATTTCTGATTTTGCTTTACAAACTTCAAGGCCTCAACTAGAACCCATTTCAGAAACATTAAACATATAGCACTTAGAAACTACTGATTTTAATAACTTCTAGAAGTTGGCTCATGCTGTAAATGGGTTAATACTGCCTTTTTTCTGCTGAACATTTGATAAATACTACTAAACATCTCTTAAAATGGATTGAGTTTGTATGCTTAGTCGCATTTTTTCATTACAAAAGGGTGTTTTGAAATTGTTCAGATCATCAAGTTCTTGCTTACCAGTACTGGAGTGAATGTGAATGCGTTGAATGCCAACAGCTCTACGGCGTTGGACATTCTGATGCAGAGTCTTAGAGATTTGAGGGATATGGAGATTGAGGATTCTCTTCGAAGTGTAGGGGCTAAAAGTGCAAAGGATGTACAACCCATCATGCATGACTGGGTTCGTGTTCCAACAAAAGAACACCAGATATCAAGACGTCTAGGCTCAGCAGCACTATCTTCGAAAGAGGGTGATTCTATGAAACCGGCTACACAGAAGAAGCCTAGCGATTGGCTTGGCAGGAAGAGAAGTTCATTGATGGTGGTGGCATCTCTCCTTGCAACTGTTGCCTTCCAATCTGCTCTAACCCCCCCAGGAGGTGTTTGGCAGGATGACCTGAAAGTAGATGACAAAGGCAACCCTGTGGATAAACCTCACTCTGTAGGAACAGCTGTCATGGCATATAACCAGCCAAAAGAGTATGGTCTGTTCATGATTTTTAATACAATCGCTTTCCTCACGTCACTGAGCATAATTCTTCTGCTTGTTAGCGGGCTACCGATAAAGCGTCGAAGGTGGGTTTGGATACAAATGGTCATAATGTGGGTTGCCATCAGTACACTAGTAATAACTTACTTCATCTCTCTCCGTCAAATGTCACCTGATGCCTCAAATGTGAAAAAAATGTTGCGCGAGGTAACGGAGAAATCAGTTTTGACATGGTTGTGTCTGATGGTGGTTGTTTTTGTCGGCAATTGTGTTCGTATGAATTTATGGGTTCTCAGAAAGTATGGTTATATTAAGCCAAAAGAGGAATCAGCCACCATTGATGATGAACTTGAAGAGGAGAACTGAGGATTAAAGTGAATGGAACTCTCACTTTTTTATGGCTTGGCAACACAGAACTTATAATTGCAATTTTCTGGATGTGAGTGTCAAGCTAGAAAGTTTTGGTTCACAGCCTTGTCATGTATGAGATTGGACATTTGAAGGTATGTTTTTTAGCAGCACATTTGGATGAAGATATTGTGGTCAAGCCCTTTCTTATCTGATTGTTTGGTTTTGAGGGTTAAACTCACCATTCTTGTACATCTATATTCCTCTGTTAAAGTCATCGGTCCTAATCTCTGAGATGGCAATGCTTTTATGTGTATGTGCTTTGATCTTCCGTACTCGTAAATTTTGAGAGAAATATACTTCATTCTGATTGATTCAGTTGGCATGATAAGAATGCCACTGTTAAAGTCCGCTCTGTTAATGATTCTGTGAAGGTATTCTATAATGAAACTATAGTCATTGGCTCGGTTGGTGTGTGATGGGTTTGCAACTTTGTCCTGGGAGGCATATATCTTTTGATGGTTGGGGTTTTGGCTATCTTATGGACTGTTTGATTGGAAAGGAAACTTGTGTTTAGGATGGAGGATGTCAACAGGATTTAGATGTACAACTCCTTTTCTTCATCTTCCTTGTAATATTTTTCTGTTTAATTGTTGAAGCACTTGCTTAAACACCTGTTTAGGGAATATCTGCTTAAAAGCTCACATTATACAGCCAACTTTTCCTCCTTTTTACTTCTTTCAAGTAACAATACAACAGCATGCAGATGGGTGATTTTTTTTGTGTACTCTAAATTCTTATTTTCGGCGGGTTTATACAAATTCAAGTTAATACCTAATGACACAGAAAAATCAAAGATAATGAAGAAAAATTATTCATTTCCTCTTTTAAAAAAGCCCGACCACTGCACACTGAAAACAGCATTGAAACGCTTCCAAAATTTCTACAAGGTCCAGAACAGCTATTGCACACGCAAATACCACCTCTGGCGGCTGTGAATGAAACACAATCCCTTCACATTACAATGCTTGCAAGCAGACTTACACAACATGAGGATTTACAACACAGAAATTATGAGGAAGCAGCACCTTTTCTATTTTATCTCATGCTGCCTATCGGTTGACTATGTTTTAAGTGACTACAAGATATAACCTCACAAACACAACCATCAACCTTGTATGGTTCCAGGGAACCCTGTTTGTATGGATTCCATTGACAACCCAGCTGATTGATGATGAGGCTGAAAGCATTGCCCAATTCGGAATTCACCGTGAGCTCCACCATTTCACAGAAAAATGTAAAAAATCCACTCAGCACAATCTAATCGTCTCATTCGGAAAAATAACATTGGGGTTTCTTATATGTGGATTTAGTGCTGCCAATTCCTTCCATTTTTCTCCAGTTCCATGAACGCGAGACGAAATGCTCCACAAGGTATCACCTGGCTGAACCTTTGTTGTTGCTGGAGCAGAAGATTTAGGAGCAGCTTTTGACTTCATAAATGGATGCTTATTGTTTTTCCCCATTCCATTAGCAAGCAACCAGCGGGAACCAGACTGTTTCTGACTCGCAGTACCCCATGGCTTCTTTTTGTCTGGTTCAGTTTTCAGACCTGCAACATGGACTTCAGTGATTCTAAATTGAGGAACAGCTTCCACTTCAGAAGATTTCTCATCTTTCCTCTCCTCCTCTATTTTTTCTTTCCCAACTGACTCCAACTCATCATCCTCTTCATTACTGCACCTTAGTTCTGAAACCGTGCTGTATATTTTTGGCTTCGGTGGGAGGAACACTCTCTCTACTTGAACAAGAGAAAGCATTGGTGCCCCAACAGGCTCATAGTTTCGTAGTGGATCTCGAAGTTGCACCATCAATGCTACTGTGAAATTGTTCCCCAATAAACCACACTTTCTGCTAGCTCCTTTTCCACGCCTTCTCTCTCCCTTCGACCCTCCACGAATCATGTCCAAAGAGTTCGCGTGATGAGCCGCAAGGATTTTAGAAGTCCGCTCACTAATATGATCTTCATCATCAATTTCGCCGGAATCAAGTTTCAACCATTCATCAAGAGTTAATGAGAGGCCCATTAGTCCGTCAACATCATTACCATTGTCCTTTATGTCTAGCAATTGCAATCCAGCAGCTCCCTCCAAACCAAGAGATTCACCAACATTAACACCCTTGCCCTGGAGAGCTGCGATTTCTGCAACAGACTGTATATTGATATTTGAAGGTGCATCTGCATCTGACATCCCAGATTGTATTCTCAACCCCTCAATTGAAAGTGCTTCAATTTTATCCATGGCTAAAGGAGCAAGATCTTCTAGAGAAACATATTCTAAGCCCATCTCATTGCCTGCTGCACTTGAATTAAACTTATTAGACTTAGGCCCAGATA